AATGAAACAAGATATATAGTGACAAAGGAAGGGAGAGAGAGAAACAAATAAAGTCAAAGAAAAAGAAACAAGATAGATAGTGACAAAGGAAGGGGGAGAGAGAGAGAGAGAGAGAAAGAGAGAGAGAGAGAGAGAGAGGGGGAGAGAGATTGAGAGTGAGTGAGAGAAGTGAGAGAGAGAGAGAGAGAGAGGGAGAGAGAGAGAGAGTGAGAGAGAGAGTGTTAGAAGATAGATAGACAGACTGATAGATAGATAAATAGACTGATAGATAGATAGATAGATAGATTGATAGATAGATAGAGAGAGAGAGAGAGAGAGAGAGAGAGAGAGGAGAGAGAAAGAGAGAAGAGAGAGAGGGAGATATAGAAGATAGATAGACAGACTGATAGATAGATAGATAGATAGAGGGAGAGAGATTGAGAGTGAGTGAGAGAAGTGAGAAAGAGAGAGGAGGAGCCAGAGCGGGAGAGAGATTGAGAGTGAGTGAGAGAAGTGAGAAAGAGAGAAAGAGAGAGGAGGATAGAGAGAGAGAGAGAGAGGGTGATATAAAGTGAGTGTATATGTGATGTTGTATTGGAACTTCTTGAGGTCATTGTATAAGTGAATAAAGAACATCACTAATTGGGATTCACAAAGCTTTCGGCGATTGTTCCGTCATCTTCAGAGCCTAATTTATTAAAAACAAAATTTACATGAACAGAGTTACATAACACATCTTATATAAATACATTACAAAATACAATTACCTACTTAACCCAGTTGTTAAGAAAATTAAATTTATTGCACATGTTTGTTGTTTTTTTTGAAGTGAAGGTGAATATAAATCTATATACTAAAAACAAAAACAGTCTTGCTTAAAGTCTAATGACACTCATCGGTCCATCCTTTGGTTTCATTTTTCATAAGTTAACACTCAATCTCAGGTACATGTATTTCTTTATCAAAGATACGTTATATATATATATATATATATATATATATATATATACAACTTTTTAACTTAAAATTATAATTTAACTAGCTACAACTATGTACAAGGATTCGAAGAAATTGAGACACACATCGGACGGTTATAACACGGTAAGGGACCCATCCCTGCTATCAATCCCGGTGTAATTAGACACACCAACGGGACTTTGCGCTTTATTTCGATTCATGAGTGTATATGTAGTCAAGTAGAGTGCCATGTAGTCTGAAGGAAAAAGATGTTTAATTACATGTTGTAAAGTTTTTGATTTGTATTTTAGGACGAATGTGACCTACTGCTTACCGAAAAATGTTTTTATTAACCATCAAAGCTTTGGCAACATTTCAATTATTTTGTATGCACGTTGATCAAAATATACACGATAAAATAAAAGTTTACAATTATAAGAACACCCAACTTGAACCAGCTCTAAATCGATAAATATTTTAAAATATTAAACAACCAAGAAAGTGGTATTTCTTCTTGTACGAGGACACATCTAACCCTTTGAAAAATAAGAATGTTACAATAAACAGTTTGAAGGTGCAACTGTCGTACTTCCTGACGAAGTTATGCTTGCTTTGCAGTTCCTTTTGAAACTTCTTCACCTCAAATTTCCCTAACTCGTAAATTGACCAAACAGAAGTTAGTGTATCCATTTGAATGTTACAAACCTATCTCTTATGACAGTGAGGAGTAATTTCTTAGAGTGAACCTAAACAGCGCCCAAAGAGCTCCGCTGTTCATCTTTGGCTATCTTGAAGATTTCTTTGTTTTCCACTTACCGATTTTTCAACCTACATTAGTTATTGATAAAAGATGGTACTTAAATTCCCGGTTCAATATAATTTACGCTTTTGTTTTTAACATTTTATAGAACAATTTATTTAGTCTAGCCTAGAAGTGTTTTTATTTTTACAATATGAGAAAAGTTTTATCTTTAAATCAGTTTACGCCGAGAATAATTATTTCCTAATGGAAGTGGGGGGAATTTTGGCCAAGTCACCGCGAAATAAAAGGCAGTTTCCATTAAGATTCTTCTCAAATCCCACCACAAGCATAGCAAGATCTACTTAGGGTGAAGCCCACCCTTAGAAATGGGGGGTTATTTCGGCTTTTCCCTTGATCTCAGTCAAACTATTGTTGTACAGGGCCACTTTTCGTCAACACTCACTAATCTTTTGAATAATGGAACGTAATCTTGGCTTTTTGGCAGTGATCAGGAAAAAATAATGCAAAACTAAATTGCCTTCTATCTAATTATAGCAAAATGCAATTCCTGAATTACCACACAGCTTTAAAGGTATTGAAACTTTGTATATCATTTGTTTATTGCGTAATCTGTGTTATTTTAACCCGTAATGGAAAATCTTTTACTAGCTACATTTGATTAACATAAAAAATAAATTTTTCAATAAATATAATCAGATTAATGAATAACAATAAAAGGAGGGAAAATTTAAAAAGGTGGGGTTGAGATGGGAAGTTAGTGTCCGAGTGGATCGAAGTCACGATAGCTCAAGTGGTAGAGCTTCGGCGTATCAAGCCGAAGGTCGTGGGTTCGAATCAACAATAAAGTTGATATTGGTTTTTTACATCCTCAAACCCTTTTCAAATAAATGCCTCCAATTTTTTTTTTAAATTACAAAAATATTGCCAACGATAAAAGGAATCCACAGATTCACAGGAAACTATACACTGGTTTAGATACTTATACGTTACACGTATACGTTAATAACCTCGCATACGTTAATAAAAAAACAATATAATAAAATATTTGATGGTTTTATTTTTTAAAGAAGCAGATAATATAACAATCAGCTTGGGAACTAAACGATTCGGGCACGCAACATAATTTAAAACATCGGACACTCTTACTTAGAAATGGGGACTGACTACATGATCCCGGAAACAATCTTAGCAATATCCTATCCTCAACAGACTATAAAATAGAGGAAGAACTCAGGAGGACATCAATTGCAATGATATGGTATAGAGATGGCTCCAAAACAAACAAAGAAATCGTATCGCGTGTTTCTGTACAAGCCCAAAATTTGAGCAATCAAACTCGTTAGAGAATTACACTTCGGTCTTTCAAGCAGAAATACACGCCATCAATTCATGTGCCTTGGAAAATCTTAAAAGATGTTACACTGGCAAAAATCATCATAAGAGCGGATTGCCAAGCAGCTATTAAAGCATTAGCGTGCAAAAAAATCATATCAACATAAATCAAAATAATCAGAAAATGCATCCAAAAACTACAAAACCTGGGAAACACAACAACCTAACGATATCTTGGGTGCCAGAGCATAAAGGAATTTTGGGTTCTAACCTAAACTTGGGATAAGAAAAACAAATACAGAATCCTCCATCACAGAATGAATCCAAACAAAACAAAAGGAGACGTGGATAATTCTAGCGGTGCTAGACACGGTAAACTTATGATGAAACAACCCTCACCAAGATCGGCAAACTCACTGCTGCAGTTGGAGAGGGCCAGACTCAGAGGAGTGATAGGACTAGTAACAGGTAACTGGTATCTGAGAAAAAACTACATAACACGTGTACATACAATGATGACCCCATTTGCAGATTATGTAATGAGGAGGAAGAAACAACAGCCCATATTATCTTGAAATGCGAAGCAACGGCTCAATGGAGACATAACCTACATACGGAAAAACCTAGGGAATGAAATTGTACCAGCAACAAGTCGATGACCTAATACTTCTGAGAAGAAGGATTGAGTCGTTTGCACTGAACTAGGTAACCGGTTGAGGGCACTGTTGCGCGTTGGAGAATGGATGTATTTGACTAGTTCAACTAGATCTAAGCCTATCGGTTCGGAAATGGTACTCAATATGTAAAAATACTTTCTCAATCTAATGAAATACCTAAAATACAAAAAGACTTTGAAAAAGCATGTGTTTTTATCTGTTTTTAGATTTTCACTTACCGGTTGAGCGGCGAGTTGCGAAATGGGGAATTGATGTATTCGACTAGTTCAATATGATCTCATGTACCTATCGGTAACCACACAATTGATATGATTGATGTTTGGAGTGGCTCCTTTTCCGAGAACGTCCACAAATTTTCCTGGAATCGAGTATGTTCGTCGGAAAATTAAATAACCATAAGCCAGAAAACTGCAATGCCTGGAGTCACAAACCCCGCTTCCTAGCATCCTCATCATCACCATCATAACAATCAGCTTTTTAACGGTTTTAATAACGTTGAATTTAGATAAAATCCAGAGGAGGTATGATTTTGGAAATAGAACAAAAGGTACTGGAGAAAAAATCTCCTCAGAATAATCCGGCCAAACATGGTTCTTTTGTGTTGTTAAGAGCTTCAAATTACGATTAAAATAAATCTGAATTTATTTTTAAAAATTCCTTTCCGTGCTTTAATGGAGGCGTCTTTTCGCTTTTGTAAACTGTCTTTTTTAATACAATGTTACTATTATTTTATCCTATGCAACGAAACAAATCGTCGGATAAAAATATATGTTTAAAAAATTAATTAATATAGCTAAACTCTATTTTTCTTGATCCTTACGGCCAATTGGCAAGAAAGCTTTGACACTCTAATATTTTTCGACCTAGTATCACCAAAAAATTTGAATTAAAACCCTGATCCCACGTTCATAATGTCCTCTTGTGAGTGTACATTTTAAGAAACCACTGGAAATGTTCTAGTCTATAAAAATTTGGTCTGATATGATGATTCTTTTTTCCAAAGATAGTTGTGATTTTGTTGGTGGAGTGAACAATGTGTCGTTAAAATTGCCATCCAACTTTTTATAGACATTTTTGGTCAAATTCAAATTTTCATAACATTTTGAAATTATTCTTTTGCATATTAAGATGGTTATGATTACAAATTTATTAGCAGGCCTTTTAACGACATGCACACCCCGACCTGTTTTGGTCTATTTTGCATTAAACAGTTATGACACAATAAAAGTTTCAGGTCCTACTGGGGACTAAATTGTATAAAAGAAATATTGTTATATTTACAAAATACTCACTTTTCAAGCACTAATTCTGCCCTGGAGTAAACGTATCTTCTGTGTCTCCTAGACAAGCCGAAAATGGCGTGTTCCGGGTAGGTGATGCCCAGGGTCATGGAATTGTTGGGTAGATCGTAGGACGTGGCGACTGCGACCGCCTCTGAGAAAATGTCCGTGTCGTCCGGGGTGACGGCCTTTATCGTCATGCAGAAAGCAAACTGCGAATAAAAAATAAAAGAAAAAAAAACTACTACTCCGCCTCAAAAAGAGGATCAATCGGGAAGACAACGTGTAACCCTGGCTGCGAACGGCCGATATTTTATTCGGGATTACACAGCCTTCTATTTTGTATAGGAATACCTGGATGAATATCAAGTGGTAAAGTTTTCGAACGAAATGAACTCGAACAAAAACTAAACGTTAATGGCCCAGCTGGAGGATAACGAAGAGCCACTCCGACTTGTCATACACTGGCTGAAATAATTACTGAGGTCTTATTCTAAAACACTACTTCCATTTTAGCACAATTGCCGTTTTATTCTCTGGCACTTCATAAACTATAATTCTTGCTACCGTAGAAAAATTCATGCAGTTTAAAGCAATTAATTATACTTTTAATTAAGTTAAAAGAGTCCATCTGGCCAACAACCAAACAGGAAAAAATTGAGCACATGCTACAAAGTAAACGTAATACGCTATATTTTAGTTTATATAAGGATTATTTATAATTGTTGCAACTGAGGCATTTCTTTCTCCCTTTTAAAAGAACATTAATGACCGAATTTCGTTAAATAAAAATCACTAAAAGGAAAACGTTAAATGTTATTTATTCGTGTTATTTCATCTCACTCTCTCTATCTCAGTTCCTCGCTCTCTCCTCACTTTCTCTCTCTTACGTTCTCTCTCTTACCTCAATAAACACTTAAGGAACTGAACGAATATAGTCTCTCTCTCTCTCTCTCTCTCTCTCTCTCTCTCTCTCTCTCTCTCTCTCTTCTCCTCTCTCATCTTTTCTCTCTCTTTCTCACTCACTCTCTCTCTCTCTATCCCTATGACTCTTTCTCTTTCTTCTCTCTCTCTTTCTCTCTCTCACTCGCTATCTTTTTCTCATTCACGCTCTCTCCCTCATCTCAATTACAACTAAGGAGCTAAAGGATTGTAGTCTCTCTCTCTCTCTCTCTCTCTCTCTCTCACTCACACTCACTCTCTCCCATTCTCTCTTTCTTCTTTCTCTTTCTTTTTTTGTCTCTCTCTTTCTTCTTTCTCTTTCTCTCTATCTACTTATCTATCAATGTAGCCATCTCTATCTATCTATTTTTATTTATCTCTATCTATATNCTCTCTCTCTCTCTCTCTCTCTCACTCACACTCACTCTCTCCCATTCTCTCTTTCTTCTTTCTCTTTCTTTTTTGTCTCTCTCTTTCTTCTTTCTCTTTCTCTCTATCTACTTATCTATCAATCTCTACCTATGTAGCCATCTCTATCTATCTATTTTTATTTATCTCTATCCATATCACTCTTCTCCATTTCTCTCTCACTCTCCTCTCTCTCTTTTTCTCTCTCTCTCTCTTTTTCTCTCTCTCTCTCTTTTTCTTACGCACGTTTTCTCCTTCCTCTCTGAAAATATTTAAGGAGCTAACCAAATGCAGTCTCTCTCTCTCTTTACTTACCTATTCCTGCATCTCTCTCTCTCTTCATACTTCATCTCCCGCTCCCTCTCCCTCTCTCTCTCTCTCTCCCTCTTCCTTTCTCCCTCTTTCTTTATCTCACTCTCTTTATTTCACTTACATATCACACTCTTTCTTCCCCCCACTATCTATTTAATTCTACATATGTATCTCCCCAACAATGCTTCTTTTTTACTATGAAAAAAATTATAAACTATTACATCAAATCTCTATTTATTGTTCGTGATTGGTCTTATTCTTTTAAGCAATGTTATTTCTCTTTAATGAAGTAAAAGATTTATATACTATTTTGTAAGTTTTAATCTGATATGTACTAATAGTTTATGCTACCACTTAACAATTTATACGCTTTTCTATTTATGTCTTTCCTTGTATACTTTTATTTAAATTTACTTAACATTTTAATGCAGTATAACGTTCATCGAAAAATAAAATTGGAATAGCTTTGATTTCAATTTTGTACAATGAATTACAGAATGGCCTTCTTTTTAACTGTAAACTATTATTATATCTTTCGCCTGTCTTGTATTGATACAATATCTTAGGTGGATTCAGAATCGTGTGATTTTGCCCAGTGTTTCCGGGTGTAGAGTTCTCCTTTCTCCGTGTTGCTCTGATCAGGTGAAGGGTAAAGGGGCAAAGTTGCCAAAGTCGCCATTTCGCCACCCGATAATAGTTCGGATCACAACTTTAAACGGCTTGGGTATTAGCCTTGTTCCAAGTGACGTCAACTAATAACTATCCGAGTTTAAGAGTTGCCGGGAAACAGCTGGGGTAACTCTGCCCTGTCTGTTTGGCTCAAAAAGAAAGGGAAAAACGGTTTTGTAACCATTATTTTTAAAACGATACCATCGACGAAGTGGAAGCTATTTGAAATTTTTTGTCTGTGATTTCCTAAACAATTCTGGATTGATGAGTTCAATCAAATAAAAACAAAGATAAAAAATTCTGAACTTTTTATTTTCTGCGCTTAGTTGTGGACCAGCAATTAACTGAATGTAAAATTCGGATTATCACGTTAGGAATTACTCAGACCACACCTATTTCTGATGTATTTATGCAATTTTCTATTTATTTAAATATAATTATTTATTAAAAGACATATCTAATTAGGATTGTGAAAATGTAAAAGATTGTCATTTTAAAGCTTCAATTGTATTGAATTATGAAATTATTTTGGTTTATGTATCCAATTAATAAGATTTATGTTAACCAAGTTTATATTTCATAATTAAAAACTTTCTTTCAAAAAAGCACAAATTTTAAGTCTGTTTTCTTTTTTTTTTCAGGTATTATTTTTGGAATTATGTCAGGTTTCCAACCATTATGGTAAACTGACGTGTAATATTATGCTAGTGAGAATAGTTATTATGTAAGTAAACTACCAATTAATTTAATTTGCTTAATGTGCTAACGTGTTCTGTTAGGTAAGGTTTTCACATTTTTTAAAAAGGTTTTTCTTAATTAATAAAGAATTAATAAAATATAATTTTATTTAATTACTTGGAGATGGATTAACTTTTCGATTTTATTATTAGAAAAGCTGTTTTGAAATCGTTTGGCGAAATTAAATCTTAGTCTGCTCTGTTTACTATTTTATCCTCCGTTTCTTAATCTCATCGTTTTTTACACATTTGTGAATCATTTGTTTAATGATGTTTAATATATCCCATATCGTGGCAAGGATGGAGTGTGCTGTAAGTTTTAAATAAAACACTTTTATCAAAAAACTTTTCGATTTTAACAAGACAAATATTGTAATGGTTTTAATTTGTTAATCTCTAAGTAAGGTTTAAGTTGAGATAAAAAAGTCAGTGTTACGAGCGGGATTCGAACCCACGACTTTCGGTTCAGTACACAGCGACTCCAACCGCTTGAGCTATCGTGACTTCGCTCCACTCGGACACCAACTCCCCATCTCAACCTACCTTTCGAATTTTCCCTTCTTTTTTGCCATTTTTCATCCGTGGGTTCGAATCCCGCTTATAACACCAACTTTTTCATTTCAACCAAGACCTTATATACTAAGAATAATTAATTGAAAGAAGTAATCTGATCAATCAGACCACTAAACATAATGTATTTAGAGATTTACATTCGCGCATTTTTGTATATTAAATATAAAAATTTCAATTTTTTTCGGGGCTTTTATATATTTGATAGTTACGAGATTAGGTAGTAATGTGATAATATGAGCTTTCATATAATCACAGCTTATAGTATTATTATAAAAAATGAAGATATGGTTATAATTTAGAAATTTTCACTATTTAAAAAACAAAAAATCAATCTGTGTGCATAAACGGTTTACCTTTATTCCACGCACATCATGATTTTTTTTAAACGGACAAAAGATGAGATACATTACACATTTATGCATGCATATAACTTTATTCGCCATATAAATCATAATTTCTTTACTGTTTGTTTTTTAAAATTAAATTTTCATAGCTATATTCAATCAATCAAAATGTACAGTTTTTCCTTTTGATAGAAAATAATATACAGAGAGGGGTCCATTTTTTAATCATCTTTTTCAAAACGTCTTTTGAACTTTAATTTTTCTTATAAAGTTCATAATAATTTAACAATATATGTATGAGTAATAAAAAAATGTGTTTTTTTCTCTTTGTTAACTATTTATTTCCATAGTTAAAGCAATCTACTACATTTTAAAATTTGAGCAAAGTTAAGTCTTTTGGCTTTTATTTTTAAAACACCATTTGTAAAGGTTTTTCAAATGTCGTGTAATCTATTTGATTTTCGGCGACAAACGAAATGGCCACGGAGAGCTTCAGTGAAGTATACTTCATTCGGACCACGAAACCTAATAGATTTAATAAGCAGAATGAAGTATACTTCACTAAAGCTATCCGTGGCCATTTCATCATCAAGAATATAAGATCATATTTTGTGACAATTGACTATCATAGGGATCATAAATGTATAAGTTTTCCCTGCCTGCTTATTCAAGTGTACTGGCCTGGATGAACAGAGGTGTTTTACTCAGGTCTATATTTATTCTTTGTTGATTCCTTGTGTAATTTGCTGCTTTGTGCAAGAAAAACAGTTAAATTTACTAAACAATTTTTTTAAGAGGGTTTCTTTATGTCCAAAAGACTGCATTTTAACTCGATTTTTAACTTTAAAAAAATTGATAATCGTAAAAAAATTAAATAAAATTGGAGAGGAGAGAAAAAATTTGCTATTAAAACAACTTACGGAAAAAGCGCTCCCCTCGGGAAACGTAATATATCTTTTGACCCTCTTCAAACTTTTCCCTTCCTCCACTCCACACAATGCGGAATTGGTGAAACAAACAATTATAGCGAGAAGGACTCTGAACCATTCCATCTCCGGAAACCAATTGAGACGGGATACTAATTCAAAACGACGCTACGCCTTTTCACGGCTGATCACTAATTGTCTTCAAGTTGACACAACAACGGTTTTAATTATAAGAAAAACATCTAATTATGGCAATGACCGCAAGGTTTAAAAGAAACAGTAACAAGATGAGAAAGAAATAGAGAAAGGGGTGAAACAATGGTTTTGCTCAAAAAATGATAAACTAAAAATATCTAAAATGACCAAGCATGATGATTATCCGCCATATTCTAACTGATTTTAACCTTCGGTTAACAACGTGAAACGCCCGGACATGTACTACAACGTCGGGTCATTTTGAACCAACTCTGTTTTTGAGTGGAATGAGTCATATTTTTCAATATTTTTGGGAAATATTAATAACATTTTTTTTAAAGTTCTTACTTTTATTAACCTTGTAGAATAAAAAATCAATTTTTTTTCAAAATAAGTGGTACAAAACACATTTTAATTACAATAAAGTACAGTCTAGCAAGGAAAAACTCGAAGATATTGGGAAATCTTTCTTTGTAAAAGTTTAACTTCGAGTTTTTGATAGTATCTACAAAACTACAGTCAAACATCTTCGTAAAGTGCACATTAAATTCTTATAAAATGAAAATGAAAAAAATAACTTCACAAAATTGGAACACATTATTACAAGCAACAAAAATGGCATACATACTCCGAAGAACGGAAAGCAATGAAGGAGGATAAATCGGTTTTTGGACATCACTGTTCGAAAAATCAATGGTCTAAATAAACGACAAAATATGTCTGAGACATTCAGGTTCAAATCCATCATAACGCCGCTGAAAAATAAAAGGCCCAGCAAAGCGTTCACTTCATGACCATCTGTGGGTCTAATATAGCACTGGTCAGGACTGTATTGAGTTTTTATTTATCAGTCTCTTCATTGGTATATTTTACAATGACATCAATCATGGCTTGGTTGATGAATAAGGAATACAATGGTTCCTTATCTATAAGGTTCCGAGCATTTCCTTTGGCACCAGGCAAATGGGTAATCATATTCCTTGAAACTAATCTGACGTCTCTGGACGGTAAAAGATCGGTATCAGTCCAGATAGTTTCGCCACCTTTGCCCAACCCAACACAAGTTTCTGCTTTGTTCTGTATCTTCGGAACCTAAATTTGAAATATTTTCTAGGCTAAAGTGGTTCTCTGAGAGCGCATCGTCTTCAGGAAGAACGTCGAAAGCGTCAGATTTAGCATTGTCGTTTGGCAACAAATCATTTTCATCTTCACAGTAAGTTACTTCATGAGAAAAGTATTCCTCGTTTTCATTATCACTGATATTCGTATTTCACGTCGAATTTCTTCGTCAGTAACAAAATGAGAACTATTTGCCATGGCTGAAACAATCCAAAAAGATTACAAAGAAAAGCTTCGAGAAAAGAAATTAAATTTGAACTAAAACTAAAAGAACATGACGTACAACGTGGGGTCATATTGACACATACCATGATTTTTCTTACTTTATTCTAACATTACGAGGTCACTTACCTGTGAAAATAGTTCCAGTGGCGTCCACGTCTACAGGAAGATCAGAAGGAAAGCTACTCAAAGCCTCAACCTCTTCCGATCACTACCCTCTGACACACGCGCGTTTTTGAAATTTTTGGGTCATTTTGACCCGTAGGTTGTAGAACAAAGGTTAAGGATTGAAGCATCTTTAGCAGCAATAGATAATGTATTTATCCTAAAGTATGTCCAGCAGATGATCAGGGATGATGTAGGATTAGGATTTTTAGGATGACTATAGGCTCTGAAGGTTTTCGCATTTTTGCTGAAAAATAAATAAGAATGCATTACTTTGAAAAGAGGATTATTTTCAAGAGTTTTCATTATATTCCATTTACTTTTAATACATTTAGTTTTTTTTAATTATATTTACTCGGCCGGCATTGTAAAATAAAAACTAGACCAAAATTGTTTATTCTTAGCTTGGAAATTCGAAAAATTCTTCACCTCGAACACGATCACCATTTACGATCGTTACAATAATAAATTAGGAGTTTAAAACCTAAGGCGAGGAATATTAGACATTTATGATGTGAGCTTCTCCGCTGGAATAACAAATTTTGGGTCTCGCTTGAGCCTCATATTTACATAAAACGCTGCATTACGGTTGTTTGGTTTGCGGAGCCATCCATAACCTTAACTCCTACATAAACATAATGTGTAAACCGAAGGAAAAAAAAAGTAAGGAAGCAAATAAAGAAAACCTTTCGAAGTCGACTGGAGAGATAGGTACGTTGTCAAAATGTGTCATTTTTATTTACCCGTAAGTATAAAAGACCATAAATTTATGGGTAACCGTCTAAAAAAACAAATTACATTATTAATGTAATAAGAAAGATTGATTAATTTTAAACATACTAATTTTAATAATTATTAATTTCTGGCTTATTTTAAGAGGTGTTTGATTTTAAATAAAAATGTTATTTATTGAGATTTTTCAAACTATTTGTTTAAATATTGACTTGGTTTTTATTCTCCTTGACACATTCAGTTTTTGGCATTTTTTAACAGAAATCTTTTTTTTTATGGTTTTGCTTGATTTTATTATACTTTGGTTTTATTTGGATAAATCCATCAATACAAAATTCAACAACGAAAAACAACTTGTTCCGGTTAATATTCATAAAATCGGCTCTTATAATCATAAAAAAAAGATCGATCGAGGTTTTAATTTCGTGTGAATAATTAAATTTTTTGATCCAGTATGCACAGAAAAAACAAAAATCACAAACACATTACATAAATAATAGGACTAAAAAATACAAAGAGATAGAGATAACAAGAACGGTGAGATACTTAGAAAAGCATTATTAGACCAATTTATCACACTTTATGTATTCAAAAATAATGTATATTTTTTAAATCAATAAGGACAAATAACAATTTTTTAGATAATAAAGACAATCATAAACATTTGATAGATAAAGATTCAAATTAATAGTTAGTTCATAAGTAATCAATTTTTAGACATGAATTTAAACTTAATAATTTACCAAGAAAAACGTAATTTTGGGAACAAGAGTAATTACTTGCAGTAGTAAATATATAGAAAAAGAGAGCAAGAAAGTAGAGAGATAAATAGAGACAGAGAGAAAGACGGAGTAATTATGCCTTGCCAACAAATCTATGGAAACACGACTCTCGGAGAGAGAGAGAGAGAGAGAGAGAGAGAGAGAGAGAGAGAGAGAGAGAGAGAGTGAGTGAGTGAGGGAGAGAAGAGAAGGGAAAGTAAGATAAAAGGTTTTCTTTTCGCGCTTGCGTGTTTGTTTGTCTGTGTGTGATAATTATATAATTCACAAAATTATTTCACAAAAACATTTCATGAATATCCATGGTTTATTCTTTATCATAAACCATGTAAATATCAAATAATTAAACTATGTATATGAAGGAACTTGCGGAATTACTGTAGACCATTTTTCATTCATTGAAACTTTATAAAAAGTGCCCTGAATTCCATATCTAATAGTGCTAGATATGCAATAGCAACGTTACATGGCAATGTATGCAGCAAGGAAAGCAATTTTTGTGTTGATAATTTAAATAAAAGCTTTTTAATTTTAAAGCCCTATTTACCAATACAAATTTCTTTATGCACACGAATTGACATTTTTAAAAGTTTACAATCATCGATTCGAATAGTGAACAACTAATAGTAAAGGCAAATATTGCTTATCCCATTAGTATTTAAATTCAGTAAACCAATTCTTTATATATTTAATGGTTATACTACAAAATAAAATTGTACGACTAAAATTTTACTGTTTTTGACACTCCTGCTTCTGACTGAAACTAAAGATGTAAAAATAATTTGAAAAAGCTTCATTGTAATTGGTTTGTCATTCGATCTCTTCAATTTCAACAAAGACACCTTTTTCAACCGTTATGATAATTTAGTTTTTTCAGGGTGCGCTCATTGTCTTTTCCTCCACTCTTTTAATACAATATTTTATAATTATTTAGAAATCATGAGATGCAGTCTGGTGATGTAGGTTTCAGAAAAACATTTTCATTGTCGTGTCTAGGTTTCGATCTTTATTGAGATCATCATCAGGGCCTTGTGTTGTCAGAATTTCAACAAAAAGGGTTCTCTGACTGATAGTCGATGCGAGTTTTTTCTCATTGTTGGCGATGTACTTCAGAATACATTTTGCTTAATAATCAATCAGAACGTTGGGGCGATAAAGAAAATGTTTTTCTTAAACCTACATCACACCAGACCGCATCTCACGATTTCAGAATAATCATCGACTAACTGTCACTAATCACCATACAATATTTTATATTACATAGCCAAACACATATACATAATTGTAATATTAATTTAAATGGAAGTGAAGGAATGTGCAAATTACTAAAAAAATTAAAATTTAATAGCACAGTTTTACGATTGGGATAATGGCCACGGTATTAACGGGTATTAAGTAAATGAAAGTAAGGAAGTTTTACTCGGAGTCGAGCCTAGGGGCTACCGCAGCGAAGCTTCTGCAGGTTAATGCCGGCTCACTGCAGGTTTCTATATTTTTTATAGAGATTTAATTGAATGAAATGAGGGTGTGGATGGCGTGATGTGGTTTGCGGGCCTCGGGGCAATAAATTGTTAACTCTACTTTAATACGCGGGGCAACAAATTGTGAAGGGGTCGCGGACTCGGTGTTTAGCGCTTGTAGCACAAGGTAAAGAAAGACGAAGGGGCCGACAATGTTTTGATATTCCCTACTGGCTTTATCGAGAGAGAAATTTCTTTACTCCGGTTACAGTTCGCCGTAGAAAAAAGAAAAAAAAAAGATTATCTTTTCACTGTAGAAACGGTTTTCTGGTTTAATTTACAATATACAATTCACATCTTTATTACATTTGTAAGAACTGACCTTTCCATTTTATTTGAAGATAACACATTTTTTTTACAACAGACAAAATTCATATTATTATATGAAAAAAAATAAAGTAAATACTACGTGAAAAAAAGTGTTTTCAATTTTGTTCCTAAATTGTACAATACTTCTAACTGCTATGTTTTCCCACAA